CCCGAGCCCGAGGACGACGGCGCCAACGGCGGGGCGGACGAGAGAGCGGCCAGACGCCCCGACGCCAACGCCCCAGCGCAAGCGAGCGGCGCGGGGACGCGGGAGGCCCGCAGGCCCGAGCCCGCGTCGCCCCGGCCTCTCCACCCCCGTGCGGCGCCGATGGCGTCGGAGCTGGCGCACCGGCCCCATTACGCAATGCAGGTGACGCGGGCCGCGCCGCGGGCCCCCTCCAGCCGCCCCGTGCTGCCCGCCGCCCCGAAGGGCACCGGTCCTCACCTGAGACGTTAGGCCGCACGCCGCCCCCGCCGGCCGCACGCCGCTGCTGCCTCCTTCTTGGGCTGCTGTGTGGCGCCGGGGCCCGCCCGCCGCGCCCACCGCTCCGCCGCGCTAACAGGCCCCGTTTACCCGCGGGCACCGCCGGCAGCCGCCGCCGCCACCGCTTCGGCTACTCTGCTGCGGGAGAGCAGAACAAACAGCCCTGCCGCCGCCGCCACCAGCGCACTGACGTCACCGCGCACGCTGCGCGCGCGGCTCCGCGTCGCCGCCGCCGCCGCTGCCGCCGCCCGGCGTGCGCGCCCCCTAGATTGCGCCCGGCGCGAGTGAGCGAGCTCGGGAAAGTCGGCGGCTGAGAGGTAACTGCGAGGCGTGCTCGCGGGGCTGGGGGTACCCAGTAGACCGAGCAAGGGGAGACCGAGCAAGGGGACTCCTCACACGGAGATTGGGGATCCCGCAGACTGAGGGAGAGGACTCCTAAAATCGAGGGAGGGGACCCCGCAGACCGAAGGAAAGGATCCCTGGAGGGGACCGCTCACACGGAGCTTGGGGACCCCGCAGACCGAGAAAGAGGTCTCCTCATATCGAGGGAGGGGACCCCGCAGACGGAGCGAGGGGACCTCTCAGACGGACGGAGGGAACTCCTCAGACGGACGGAGGGGAACCTGCAGGCCGAAGAAGAGGATTCCTCAGACTCCGCTTAGACTGAGGTAGCGGACTCCACCGACTGAGGGAGTGGACCAAGGGGAGATTATTGAAGGCTGCGCCTGAGGGGATAGATCTGAAGGCTGAGGGAAACGTCCAAAACTTAAGACGGGTCTGATAATTGACTCCCAAAGAGAGGAAGGACGGTGAGGAGTGATCCCAAAGACTGATGGCAGAGGCCGAGGGAGAGACTCCGGTCTGAGGGAGGCCGCACCTGCTGGAAGGAGTGGAGGTGATGCTGGGCCGCTAAGGCGAGAGAGCTGCGATGAGGACCTGAGCGCTGGGGTGCGGGAAAGGTGAGGAGGCTGTAAGCAAGGCCGAGGTGGCATCTTTCTGGGCTAGCTATCGCTAAGATGTAAAGACTGGAAGGTGCTGGACTCCGGGCCTAGGGCACGCTCCTTCCAGTTGTCCCCCAGCTGACCGCCTTCTTGTCCTTAAATCCATAAAACGAGGAAATGAGGCTTAGGCCACTTGCAGTTTAAAATGCTATGTGAAATGTTTCAAAGGGGAAACAACCTTTCCCTTTTGCCCTTAATTTACTTTTAGCATTTTAATAAAAATGGCAGACTCAACTTATTCTAAAAATTCTAAGTAATGAAACATTTCCTGATAGCCCTTTCTTTCAGAATACTATATTGATACACTAGGATAGCAGTCAATAGTTTTGTCTCTGTCATGAAAAGTTTGCTCACTTTTCACCAATGGCAATCATAAATCACTGATGAGTACTGGGCACAGTAAAGACTTAATTTTACCCTTTAACAAAATATGAGATAAATTATTAAGTGCAAGAAATAAAGGTGGTAATGGTAATTGGTTCATTAGTAAACTTCTAATTCTGTATTATAGAATATTGTAACTTGTGAATATATCTGGCTCTGAATTTTGCATGCTCAGCAGTTTGTAGACGATGATTGGAAATGGAAAAGTAGGAAGGTACACGGGGCTAAGTGAATATGGGATAACAGCTTTTTTTTTTTAAGGAAACCAGAATATCCGTTTTAAGCTACCCTTTCCCACAATTGTGTTATTGCATTAGCCACTTAATTCATTGTTGTTGCAGACAATAAATGTCTTTGGAAGTAATTTGGAACTCCCAGTTTTCAAGTTACGTAATAAAATCTTTCATTTGACTCTAGTCACACTTCAATATCTAGCTTGATTTACTGGACCCAACTGGTGGGCTTTTTGGCTATTGCTAGAAATCAAATCCAACCTGAAGAGAATATGTATGCTGTAAAGGGAGTTCCAAAAGCTGTCTCCAAAAATCTTTTAGGATAACAATGTCTCATTCTTTATGTCTTCCATAGTGCATAGGCTAACTCCTCACAGATAGCTCAAATTCAGAAAATGTCTGTATCTAGTTGAATAAGTTTAATAGTCTCATTACTTAATGGTTCACATTTTAAATAAGCTATTTTTTACTTTCTCTTGTTATTACTGTGTTTGCAATATTAAAAACCCACAAGAGATTAATACAAATATTAAGGAATGAAACACAAAGTAGCACACAATGTAATTCTGACTGGTATTATTTATTTTTAATACAGTAATACATGAAAGCAGTTTAATTGAGCAATACTAAAGAATATAGAGGAAAAATAAAGCTTCCTGCCTCCCACTCCCCTACCAGAGTAACCACTATTATCGCTTTGCTGTGTTTATACCTGTGCTATCTTATAGCCACTGGCCACATGCAACTGAATACTTGAAATGTAGCTGGCTCAAATTGAGATGTGCTGCAAGTGTGAAATGCACATTGCATGTCAAAGATTTAGTATGAAAAAAACATCTAAAATCTCATTATTGACTGTTTATATTGAGTACATGTTGAAATATTCTTTTATATATTGGGTTAAATAGAATATATTATTAAACTTAATTTTAACCTGGCTATTTTTTAATGTGGCTACTAGAAAATATAAAATTACATATATGGTTTGCAATATATTTCTGTTGGATAGCACTGGTCTAGACTTTTTATTCTATGCAACAATATGTACCTACATATAGAAATGATGATGTTGTTATAAAACAAAGGGATCATTCCATACCTGTTGATTTGTAACATGCTGTTTTCATTTAATACATCTTGGAAGTCATTCCACATGGATACTTGGAGATCTGCCTTGTTGGGAGATAACTTGGAGATAACATATAGTGTGGTATGGATATATCATTATTTATTGTCCTATTTATATTTCATTTCCAGTTTTTCCATCATAATTATCAATATTACAGTGAACATCCTTATACATTTCTCATTTTCTTTTCATACTTGCCAGCATTTTTCCAAGTTAAAAACATTATGTAGTGTTTTCTTAAAAGCAAGGATAAATCTATATAGCATGATCAGCTTTGGAAAAGCTGGAGGTATTTGATTTGTTATGGCATGAATCCATGCCTATTTTCCAATGAGAATTTGCCCATGAGGCTACATTCTGGAATTTACAGTTTGCTCCTAGAGATGTTGAGTGATGCACACAAGATCACACATTTATACAGTTTAGAGCTCAGATCTCCTGACTCCATGAAGACTGCCTACATTTTTCCTGTAGCCTAGGAATTGACAAATATTTTCTGTAAAGAGCCAGGTAGTCAATATTTTAGGCCACAAAATCTGTATGTGGGCCATACAGTCTCTATAACATTGCCAGTCTTTGTAGCTCTGCCACTGTGGCACAAAGCAGCCATAGTTAATATGTAATCAAATGGGTGTGGCTGTGTTCCAGTAAAACTTTATGGATACTAAATTAAAATTTCATGTAAATTTCAGGATTCACAAAATATTATTATTTTGATTTTTTTCCAACCGTATATTAAAACTACAAAAGCCATTCTTAGCTGGAAGACTATACAAAAACAGAAGCAGTCCAGATTTGTCTCATAGGCAGTAGTTTCCTGATCCCTGCTTAGACTCTGAAGTCTAGAGAAGTGGAAATTTCTTTTTTTTTTTTTTTAAGGTTTTATTGGGGGAAGGGAACAGCGTTGGGGAGTTGGGGAAGGGGAACAGACAAGTTGCTGTCCTTTTGTTCTTCAGTCTAGTTGTGGAGGACGTTGCTTCACTGGCCCATGTTGGTATTATCATTGCGCTCTTCTCGGGTGAGGCAGATTGGTCTCCGGCCACTGGACGGCTGCTCACAGTGGCTCTTGGCAGCTCACGATGGCTGCCAGCCGCTCACGGTAGCTTACTGGAACCTACTGTAGCTTCACTGGAGCCTATGCCGTCGCCAGCGACTTCATGGCAGCCCAGCTCCAGGTGAGCTGTTGTCCACCATCTTAGCTGTAGAGGGCGCAGCGTCACTGGCCCTAATGTGGGATCCGAACCAGGGCCCTGCTGCTCAGAGCTGGCGTCCCAAGCCAACTCTTAACCAGAGTGCGCCACTCTGCCGGCCCAGGAAGTTTCTTTACTATTATACAGAAGCTATTCTGCTTGCAATTTTTAATAGATTTTTTTTTAGCAGTTTTAGATTTATATTAAAATTTAGTGGAATGTAATCCCATATACCCCCTCACTTCCCTTTTCCCTTTTCCCCCAGTATTAACATCTTATATAGTGAGGTACATTTCTTACAGTTGATGAGCCAATATTGATACATTATTAACTAAACTCCATAGTTTACATTAGAGTTCATTCTGAGTTGTACATTCTGTGGGCTTTGACAAATGTATAGTGACATGTATCCACCATTATGCTTGCCAATTTTTAACTCAGACTAGCTAGGAACAAAAATAAGCTTCAGAGTAAAGCATTACAATTCTGTCAGCTCCAAACGGGTACAAGATGGCCCTAAGTCTCTGCTAGTCTATTAATTTGTATTTTGCTATGTTTTGCTTAGTTTTGAAGTGTTTTACAAACATCATTCACTGTCACACTCAAAATAATGAGATTGCTGGAAAACCTAGTAGAAAGTAGAACGAAGAGCCATTCAATTGCCTTAAAAAAAGGGAGTGATTTTAAAAGTTTCAGAGTGGAAAGAAAATGCAAATGGGATAAAGTGCTTAGGAGGAAAGAGTATGGAGGTCAAAGAAGAAATAATAGTGGGAGCTCTCATTTGGTTCAGTCATTTTAAAAAAATGCTCATCATTTCGGTCAATCGTTTTAGAAAAGTTTGGCCTCTTCTGGTGAAGTTGAACTCTGAAGACTGTATGGCCCTCTAATTCCAATCCCACAGAAACTTGCTGACACACTTAAGGTTCAGAATAGCACTGTTCCTCAGAGCCCCCACTGAAAACAACCCAAATATCCATCCACGATAGAACAAATATAATGAAAATGAACAAACCACAGCCATGCACAACATAGGTAAATCTTACAAACATAATGGGAAACCGAAGTTGCAAATCGTATGTGCATGTGTCATCATCCCTTTTTGATGCAGATTTCTAAAACAGACAAAAATAGACAAGTTTTTAGGGAAGTAAAACTATAAAGAAAAACAAGCAGGTAGTTACCACTGTTTACCTGAGAGGGTGATCAGGAAGGGATGAGAGGGTTGGTAGGGGGGCCAGTTTCTGAGGTATAGCAGTATTCTGTTTCTTTTTTCAAAATTTGTTTTTTAAGTGTACAGTATTTTTAACTATAAGCACAGTGTTGTACAGCAGGTCTCTAGAACTTTTTCATCTTACGTGACTCAGAACTGACTTTTTCATCTTCCACGACTGAAAGCTTCTGCTTCTTGACTATGCATTAGCTTTGTAATTATTCACTCTGCTATACATACCTATGCTTTATGAATATTTTTGTTATATTTCAATTTTTTAAGGAGAAGAAAGAATGAATCTTATGTATTAGGAAAACTGTGCCTAAGAGAGAAGTGACTAGAAAAGGCTAATGATGAACTTGAACAAACTTCTGAATGTATGGCTAGGAAGTGAGCAGCATTGCAAGATACCTTCTAGTTTAAGACTCACACAGAAGGCTGGTGATTAGAAAGCTGAGAGGTTAAGCATGGTGAAACATGTTACTGATAAAATTTGGTCACGAGCCATTGATGGTCCCATAGGTTCAAGGCCTCGTGGAATCATCACAGCATCAGAATGAGTGGCAATGGGCCAAGTGAGGCTGCCCTGGCTGCTAAAAAAATTCCCTGTGGCATTTGCTGAACAGGGAAGGGTTTCTTGCCTTGATCGATAGGGAAAAATGCCTGATAGAACTTATTTCAGCAAGGACCCCAAGACTAGGCCCATTTTAAATGTTGGTGTAAGTACCTAACAGGACTGAAAGCGTAAATCTCTTGTCCCTTTCATCTTCAAGACAAATGGGCTGATGAAGCAGACTCTTGGAATATGATAT